ACAATATATATATATATATATATATATATATATATATATATATATATATTTATTTTTTATTTTTTTTATTATTTTTTTTTCAACCAAGATTTAAACTGTTGAGTTGAATTTAGCTGAAATGTGGCTCTGGCAGGATTCAAGGTTTGTCTTGTTCTGTTCCAGCTGCTCTGTTCGTCTGTGAGTTTAAAGTGGCTGTAAATTAAATCAAGTGGCACAGACTGACACTTGAAACCTCAGAGTGTATTATGGTCTGTTTTATGGTGGAGTGAAACTGAGCTCCACACTGATGTCCTGTGATTTACCTTGTAGCTCAGGCAACAGAATTTACAACTATTTGCTGTTCTTCGGTGGTACAGGTGCTGTTTTTCTTTCCATCAGCACTGATTGCTTCTGTCAGAAATACTCATAAGAGCCAGCCTCGGACATTATGGCCTGTCTGGAACAAAAGAGGCTGTTTTACAAAGTCGTGCTGAAAATAACAGATGAGCCTGGCAACTGTATAAATAAATGCAGATTATTAAGGTCTAAATTTTGTCTCAAAAGTAAAGTTTTCTATTCTTGTTTCAGATCTAGATTATTCTGTTTACTTCCACTTCCCTGAGGTGATAAATAATAGATGGACATCTGTTGATAATAACATGTCATATAGTAAATATGTAGCACCTGCACATGGATTGTTAGGCACAAAAATGTCTTAAGAATTTCCAATATTAAAATTCTGACTGAAGCCAAAAAATAATTATAATAATGCTCTTTAAAATGCACACAAATAATAAAAAATCAAATATCACCTGATATCGATCAATCTCTAATTTTCCAGGCAAATGAGCTCAAAATCTTTGGTTGTAATTCACTCCAAAATCCATCACAATTTCACAAAATTAGACAACTGGTAAACATATTTTTCACAGATTTGCTCATTCAGACTGAGAAGACCTTGTTCTTCTGGCCTTCCGCTGCTGTGAAGCCCACGCTGTCAGAATGTGTAATAGCTGTTATGAAACTGAAGGTTTTGCATGTTTTGTAGTTGCCCGTCTATTTGAATATAATCAGCAGGTGAAGAATAGACTTCACCTGTGCTTAAAAGTCTGTAGGAGTGAGAGAGTCTGCAGGACTTACACTGTTTGAATGCATCTGGTTGAGTGATTTGGGGGGAAATGGATGGATTCATGTGTGTGCTGGGTTGTTAAGCTTTTTATAGCCAATGCCATTTTGTTTTGAAGCAGCTCTGATTGTATCGTCGAGGATACTCCACAGCCAACAGCAGCTGTATAATTTCAGTACATCAGTGATGCACCATGGCTGAGAGTTCACCGAGTACAAAACCCTGAAGTAAATCCAATTTCTTCTGGTTTGAACCATGCCTCTAATTCATCCCCAGAAACACGCTGGACAGACTGTGCTGTGTTTTGACTGTGCTGAAATTATGACAAACAAGCTATTAGAAAAGGGAAGTTGATGGGCGTGAGATTTATTGTTGCTGACAGATATATGGGAGAATGATATACTCTTCTCAGTCTTTCTTTAACAGATTGACATAAAACACATAATCACTCTGTCAAGTAACTAATGTACATGAATAGGGACCTGACATGAAATCTAAATCTTTAAATTGGTGCCAGATAAACCATGTAGAATTAGCAGAACAGCTCAAAAGCCATAAAACAATACAACTGTTTTGAGATTACAATACACAATTGTGTCTCTAAACTAATTAGTAGTTCGGTAAATATAATGAATCATGTATTCAATGTGGTTAAATTCCCCAAAACAGCCATTTGGCCTAATTAACATCTTGTTTTGTAAAAGGCAAACAGTTTTTTTTTTTCTTTTTTTAAATCATTAGAGCTAAAGGCACAGCACAAAACGAAGAAAACATTATGAAATGTTGTTGAGTAAAACGATAATATTAAGTCATTCCTTCTTTATGAATTTTAAATTAAGGATATAGTTCACCCAAATTGAAAATTCTGTCATTAAAGGGATAGTTCACCCAAAAATGAAAATTTGATGTTTATCTGTTTACCCCCAGGGCATCCAAGATGTAGGTGACTTTGTTTCTTCAGTAGATTTACCTCTGATTTACTGCAATGTCCAAACTGTCCTGAGCGCGTCCTGAGCGCATTCACATCTTCTTCTTCATCCGACGCGTGACGCATCTTCTTCTTCTTCTTGCTTTACGGCAGATCGCTTATAAATTACCGCCACCTATCTCTCAAATGGACCATTGACACTCTATCTACAATCTCTATTAGGAGTGTCAATGGTCCATTTGAGAGATAGGTGGCAGTAATGCACTTATAAGTCTGCGATCCGCCGTAAAGCAAGAAGAAGATGACGCCTCACTCGCTCAGACAGTTCAGACATTGCGGTGCATCAGAGGTAAAAAACAATATAAATACTGTTCAGTTTCTTGCACAGACCGATCGTTTAGTGTCTTTACACATCAATGTATCGTCACGAGCCGCAGGGTTTAATTTGGTTTTGTTTGTGTATGTTTTTTTGACTCTCAAAGCCGTGATTCCCATTCACTTCCATTATAAGACTGACAGACTGCAACGGTTTGAGTTAAAAATCTTCGTTTGTGTTCTACTGAAGAAACAAAGTCACCTACATCTTGCCCTGGGGGTAAGCAGATAAACATCAAATTTTTAATTTTTGGGTGAACTATCCCTTTAATTACTCACCCTCATGGCGTTCCAAACCCGTAAGACCTTTGTTCATCTTCGGAACACAAATGAAGATATTTTTTATGAAATCCGAGAGCTCTCTGACCGTAATTTTACGAAGCTACGAGAATGCATGCATGTGATACTCTCCAAAATGAAGTCAGGGTAACGCAAAGGAGAAGAATTGTTGAATAAAGTCGTTATTTTTGTTTTCTTTGTGCACAAAACGTATTCTCGTAGCTTCATAAATTACGGTTGAACCACTGATGTCACATGGGCTATTTTAACGATGTTCTTACTACGTTTCTGAGACTTGGACATGGTGGTACCCTTGCTGTCTATGCAAAGTCAGAAAGCTCTTGGATTTCATCAAAAATATCTTAAATTGTGTTCCGAAGATGAACGAAGGTCTTACGGGTTTGGAACGACATGAGGGTGAGTAATTAATGATTTTTGGGTGAACCATCCCTTTAAAATCTGTAAACCAAAGTGGTATTGTATGTTTAAACTTTTTTTCCTTGTTTTTTTTTTCAGGACAAATCTAAAGATGCAAAGAGCCATCACAGCATCCGTGACCCAGTCCACAACCACACAGAGCACCACAGTCGTCACCAAGTCTAGAGAACAAATCCTCACGCAGAGTACGTTTCAGATCTGTACTTTATGCAGATAAAGTCTGTTTACTGAGACACCACACGTCTAAAGCAAATAGAACCCATACTAATTAATGATTCTGTCTACACTGGATGTCCACTGGATTCTGTTTCTGTCGTACTCCATGCATTTGCGCAACTGACATGGAGGACAAATGGATTTGGAAAGCTCATTTTGACGTCCAGTGACAGTCTCAAGCTGACACTGTGTGAAAGTGAGAAACCTAGAAACATGAGCATTACTTCGCCTTACTTCCTGGAACTTGTTCTACAGCATTTTTTTAATAATTCACATTCAATTTTGTATGGCGTATTCTACTATCGTTTTCCACATTTTGTGATCAAATTAACTTCTTTAAAAATGTTAGATTTTCTTCATATAGAATTTTGCTTACAAATATATTTTTCTTGCACTTTTGGCTTTATTCATGTTTATGTTTCTATTGAATGATTAATAGGGAATGTGTGGTTTTCCCAACTCATAATATGTCAAATAAATCATTCGCTATATTGTTGTGTTCACAGGCTCAGGAGCCATGATAGCTGTAATTGTCATTGGTATAATCATCATTCTCACATTTTTGCTGATAGTCCTCAAGACGTACAACAGGTATGGCAACATTTTGATGTGAACCATAATGAATGAGTTATATACCATGAGGTGAATACCTTGTCTATCTCCTCACAATAGCAGAACAATTTTAGACAGACCTTGTAATGAGGCCTAAAAATAGATTAAGACCTATTCATTTCAACCAGGCTCACACTACATTCTCCAAATCTATTAGAGGAGAAGAACACTTAAAAATGTTCTCAGGGCTGAAAGGAACATGTTTTGAAAGACTTCATAGCTGTTTCGTAACGAGAACTGAGCTGATTTATGTTGTTTATCAGGATGCACCAGTATTAAAACCAATATTAATAGGCAGATCAGTTTTTCCATGTTATGGCCAGTAAATAAACAAATGGCCAATATTACAATTCTACACTGTAAAAAATGTTTTAAATTTTTTTTCAAAATTGTAAATACAGATCATTGGGGCATGTTTTAGTCGTTCTACCTAAAAATGTGTTTTTATGCAAGTTTAATTCAATGTTACTTGTCATTTCTTTGTGAATATTTGTGAAATGTACTAGTAATTTCTGAGTGAAAATAGATTAAAGGTCCTACATAAATTTTTTCAGTATGTACTATTTTTGTCTAAAAAATAAAACACTAAAACAATATTGTTTTAAAAGCTACAATTTCAATTATGCATCAAAACAAAGTACAGTATGAAAAATCAATATGAATTACTTTTAAAGGTGTTATTAGTGTTTTGCAATAGAAATTTTTTTTTTCCATAGAGGAGATGAGCATGAACAATTGAATATCCAATAGCTATACCATTAAATTCTGTTAATCAATATGCTACCAATTGTTTATTTTATAAAACATGTTTTATTTATCAATCCATTTTTACAATTATTTATCTGACAGGAGGACTCATGCGAACAGGATGCTGGCTGTAGGCTCGGCCAAACCACGAAAGAAGGTGTCCTCTACCACAAACACAAACCTGGCCATGAGCAACGTGGGTGCGAGCTCAGTCTCTGGAAGCTTTGTGCCGTCTAACGCGTCCTCAGAGAACGGGTACCGCATTCCTCGGGTGGACCTGGCAAACGTGGATCGGAATAATGGGGAGCATTTCAGCAACAACAGCGGCTCAACTATTGTGACGTTACATGACATGCCATCAGTAGATAACACATAGCAGACATTATCTGGACTCACACGTGCAAAGATACTAACATACCAACATGAACAAAGAACCAGTAGAAGAGGCCCGGTCATATCTGAGCACCCACCATTAACCGAACATTCACTGCCCGTTTGGGATTTTATGGAACTTTGATAAAAGTCCACTTTAAAAAAAAACTGTATATGATATTGAAGAACCAGAGGAACACTTCAGAGGAGTGACATGATTATAGTTTTATTTTTAGCACTGGATTTGGTGATGAAATGTAGGGTAAAACATATTTTACTGCCTTGAGCTGAAAACTGTTCTTCTTAAAAATGGAATTGGTGGGAGCCAGAATTCAGTTAGAGATGTTAAGGATGCCCGTCAATTTAACTTGTGCATTACCATGACATTTGCACTCTTAATAGTGAGGTCTGTCAGAAAAGATTGGTCAAACAATATACTCTGTATATATTTTACAATTATGCATTTGACAGATGCTGATTCATTAAAAGTATAGATTTTGTTTATACAGTCCCTGGGACTCAAACCTGTGATTTTAGAAGTCCAGCCTAAAATGCTATTGTTGAGTTGGAAAAGACTCTGAGCTGTTACATTGTGAGCTGGTGTTAATTACATCTTTAGATGTGCCGGCATTTCCTGCATGAAGCAACCACAAAGCCCAGTTCAGTAACAAATGCTCTTTTTAAAGAGTCAGTTGAAAAGATTTCATTCTCACTGAACTTGCTTGTGAGTTTGCAGTCTCGGTCAGTGAATCTTTCAGAAATATTAGAGAGTTTGCAGCTGATTACATCACTGAATAATGAATCATTTATCAGCCAGATTAAAAAAAAAAAAACAGGAACCAGTTTTTTTTTTTTTTTAACAAATATACAGTTTTATTCTAATAAATATTATTCTAAAAGATTTTCAATTATATATAAAATGCAGGTCAAGATAAGATGAATTGTAATGTTGGCTCATTACAATTCATTAATTGTAATCACATTGACTGGCACATATACAATTAGCATCACTACAATGACCATCAAATGGGAACCAACTAAACTACTTTTGTAATTTGTCAACCAAAAAAAGTAAGGATTTCCAAACATGGTTTAAATGTAGGATCCAATGTCTATCATTTGTCAATTGTTAATCTGAAGCTGTATTTAAAGTAATGCAGAAAACATCTACTTTCCTCTCAAGCAATCCAGATATCTCCAGAAGTAACCTCAAGAAAATTTATTCACAATCTGCAACAAAACTAAAGTATTGCATAAGAATAAAAGAAAAAGAAAGAAGAAAAATACAGCAGCGCTTGATTATATAAACATGTAGAAACATTTTTTTCTGTGAACACAGTTTATACCAAGCTCTCTGGCTAATGTTCTAGTGCAACATCTCAACAAAAACACTCAGGCACAACATTTTGTCTCGAGGAGATCAACTCACATTTTGCATGAGAAAAGACATTTACAGCTATAAAGAAAAGATGCAAGAACACATACTTTGAGTACTACTCCAAGGCAACCATATCAAGAAGATCAGTCCTTTCAATGCAACAGTGTCTTTATTAGACCTATGATAGTGTCTTGTGTTATCGTTTAATATCAAGTGCAAAAGTGAATTCAAAGTAATGGATACTGGAAGTAAATGATTGTTAAAAGCCTTCCTGAAAAGAGCTGAAAATGGCGTACGTCGTATGTGTCATAGTTTCATCATACTGAGTGTGGAATTGTCCGTCTTTGATCTAGAGTCCATCTATTGCTGAAGGATATGGTTAAGTGAAAGAATTATTTTTTAATTATTTGTATTTTTCTGGAAAGGAATTACTTCGAGACCAAAGAGAGTACATATAAGGCATTGACCTGTTACACGCTCAGTTTGTTTGAAAGAAAAACAAGACATAACTCTATAAATTAAGTACAAATATAAGCAGATTTCACCTGAGAAGGAAAAGGTGCCACAACATGATGGCCTGTAAAGTTAGCAGAATACTGAGAAATCAATTAAAAAGTCTTTTCTAAGTTTTGGACACTGTTTAGACTGTTGTGGTCAGATATTTTTAAGTGCAGTAATTCTGTGGGACGCACTGCCTTGGTTTCACGCTGGGAAGTGCTCATAACATCTCAAAATTGTGCCAGTAATTTTCACCTGATCTAAAGTTTCATTCATTAAAAAGTTATTTATCTTCTTCATCAGCCAATTGTTTGGTCTTTGAAACCTCTCTGCGTATGTTTTTAACGTACACTCAAAAAAATAGTTTCAGCAACAGCAGAAAATTACAGAATAGAAAAATAAATATGTTTGCCTTTCACTGAAGAGCAAATGAAAATGAGAAATATAACATTTTTGGACACGTTTCATGATGCAAGAACTCCACGCTGGATCACGGCCGAACCGTAACGTCTAGTCATCGGGCTTCGAAGTCTTTGGGCGTGACACCTCTTGCCCTGTTCTGATTGGCCAAGATCAGACTCTTCCACGTGGCTTCGGTTCTCACTTCCTGTCCGCAGCCGGGTCCTAATTTGTGGGGGGGAGGCGGGACTTGTATTAAAAGTTTTTAAGGAAGAATTTTGGTCCGCCACGTCATTTCCGTCCTGTCCATCTTTCCCCGTTGACGTTCTTTCATTCCGTTTAGGGATTCTGAAACTGCCCCAGTTTTTCAGATGCCGCCCATTTGGCACTATTTTTCCCTGATGTTGGCTTGCGTTTGTCTTCCTCGGCGATCCGTTATACGTGGTCGAGGCAGTGACTACAGAACTAGCAGTGGTTCTGCTGTGAGACAGCAGTAATCTGTCGTCCATGTTGTCATGCTCAGTCTCGTTCTTCCCTGTGTCCTCCATAGACTTCGACTGTCTCAGTTTGTCTTTTATAGACACCTGTTCCCACAGCTTGCTCCTCCTCCTCCTGTCCTCCAGGGGGCGCTCGCTTTCCTCATCTCTTCTATGAGACTCACCTCCCCTCAGCCTGCCCTCCGACCGTTTCACTGTAGCTGATGCTGCAGTCTTACATGCTCCAGAGCCTGAATCGACGACCCCAGAACTGGGCACACTGTCCATGACCAGGCTTTCCAGTCGGGGCATCTTTGCAGGCTTGTCTGCTTCGATATGCTTTGAGACTCGAAATGGGTTGCTCCCTTTCTCGAGATTTTGAACAGTGGTGCCCAGGGCGCTGTTCTGGCCGCAGTGACCCTTCAGAGGCTGGGGGGATGTAGGTACAGGAGGTGCCGTCCGAAAGTAAAACATAGCCTCCTCCAAACGTCTAGTTGAAGATATACCTGAGCAGGAGAGAAGGCAACTGTAAAAAAAAAAAAAATCAAAACAGACTAGACGGATCAACTACTCAAGTGCATGCAGTAAGCGTCATACCAGCGATGCGTCCCTGCTCGAGCAGCCTGACGTGGTGATGAAAGATCTGTTCCTGCACTCGGCACAAGGTTCGTTTAATTCTCTCCCGACGGCTGACCATGTACGTCAAATTACGCACCTGAACACACATATATGTAGGTGAGACACACTAAATAATAATAACAAAAAAAAAATTCTGTCATTTACTCAACCTCATTCATTCATCTTGAGAACACAAATTAACATACTCCTAATATTTTCTCATCCTTGGCACGCAAAAACCAATGGGGCTTGTTCTCTTGCATGACAAGCAAGCATGACTGAGCTTTCGTTTATCATATTTAATTTGCTCTATCCATGTACAATGTTAATATATGAACAAAGGCCTAAATGAAATCGGTTCACTTAAAGTGATTGACACTTGGTTTCATATAGATAACTTTTACAATGTATTTTCAACTAATAATGTGTGATTTGGTTGCATGGAATTGAAATGAAGAATTATATGAGAGAATATTAAAAATATCTTCATTTGTGTACCGAAGATGAACAGGTTTGAAACCACATGGGGATTAATAAATAATCATTTTCATTTTTGGGCAAACTAACCCTGTAAGTGTGGAGTCAGTTTCCACACATGGAAGACATGTTCTCATCAGCAGTGGCAATACAGCACATAATAATCTAGAGGCTTAATAGCTACTCTGTAAAAATGTTTTGTTTCTGTTTGCAGTGGGAATAGTGTTCAGGTTACCAATCTAAAATTCTTGTAGCTGGAATTCACAGATAGCTGTACCACATTTCCATCTGGTATCTTATTACCAAAAAAATTATTCAAATTCCTCCACTACTGACGTCTTCGCTCATAGCCTATTATTCGAAAAAGAAAAAAAAAAAGGGGGTGTAATTGTGTGTATTTTCTATTTGGGGTTGGCCTAGCAACATATTTTATGGTCTAATGGTAAAGATACAGGTGTTGTAATGACTGTGGCGTGACAAAGCAACACAGAAATTATGTCAAATGTTAGTGATGACACTAATTTAAAACCTTGAAAAAACTGATTTTACCTGCAATATTGAATAAAAAAGGACATTATTCATAGAATCCAATATCTGAATACTGGGCCATGGTTATTTTCATACTTAAGCACAAAAACCCACACTGAACTATGTGCAAATCACTAACTGTTTATTTGAAATCATGAAGAAAAGGCAGAGTTGGGATCCTGCCGTCTAACTGTCCTGAGCTGTGATTGGCTGCTGCTGTCTTCCCTTATATTGATTCAACTGGTAATGTGAGGTAATATGGCTACAGAAGGGCTTTGCAAAACTTACCCTCTCTAGATCCTGTCTTAAATGCGTGAAGAGACGGAGTCGCCGCAAAAGCACTTCCTGTTCCCGTCTGGCAAGGTTGTCCTCTTCCTCTTTCTTCGGCATGATGAGTGGCTGGTTAAAATTCCCCTTTCTTTTCAATTTCCAGTATTGGAAAAGGAAGTCCACAGTTTCCAGGGGCAACTGCAGGTGCTCTGAGACTTCGTCAGCGGCAACGAAGCGATAGAACTCGTCCTCCAGCTGCTGGACTCGAAGTTTGCGCTCGCTGAGTCTGGTCTCTTCTGGGTTTTGTGTGAGTCTGGGCTGTGATGAGGATGACATGTCCACTCCCCTATTCCTCCTTCTCTCTTGACTGGTCTGGACCTTCACTGGCCTGTCATCATCTCCCTCTTCCTCATTCCAGTCCATGCCTGAGTGCTTGGGACAAAAAGACTTAAACTTGACTTCATCCGCCTCTGTGAGGATTGTGTTCATCTTCAACCCACACTGCAGACCGCAAGTCACGTGGAACGCCACACGGCAACTTTTGGCAGAACACTAGGGGGATTTAGAAAGACAGGATCTCAGGATTAAAGCACAGAACATGGGGAAAATGTGAAGTTTTTTTTCTGATTATTAATAAATTAACAAAATTCTACATTTAAACTAAGTAGCATGGAAAAAAAAGTTCAGTCATCGAAGCCACTGAAGAATGACCAATGTTACTATTGTTACCCAAAAACTATTTTTGTTAACTGATACAAATCTACAAAATATAAATATTATACTGTATAATTGGCAGCTAACTGAAATAAAATAAGTACTAAAATGACTAAAAACTAAGAGTAAATCAAAGCTCAACAGAATT